TGATATAGAAATAATGTAATAACAATTAAACGATACTGACATCTGTCAAAACCACTTACGTTTACGTAAACCTCATTTAACAGTACGTCATTTGTCAAGAGTTCCAGGTAAGCAAACTTGGACTTAATGGCGCCATTCTGATGAAAATAATAATATTCACCATGAATAGCACATCATTCATGTAAAAAAAAAGACGATTTTTCTAACGATTTTATGTCCACAAGGATATTTCGAACTTGTTACTGGCTGAAATATAATTGTTCCTTTCATCAGATTTAGGGTAGCTGGGTAAAATACCATGATATGGGAAAGACGATCAAAATGGTAACTGTAAGTGCTGTAAATTGTAAAATGGTTTTTAAAAGTAAAATATCTAACTAGTGTATCTTTGTTACGATCTGCAGAAAAAATATGACGTTACTGTATGTCCCCGTTGACACTTGTAAAGTTCAAAATGTTATCACATGTATAAATGCCAAGCGTACCAAAGAACTGTGCGCTTTGTCGATTTTTAAAGAGTTAAAGCCAAAAACAGGCGGTACATTTCTGATTTGAGAGCAACAGCTAAGACGTTACCATTATTCAAGTTAATGTGAACGTGATACCCAAGTTAGAGGAGTTTTATCAGTCAATCTACATTTTTTTCATGAATGTGAAATGGAAAACGATCACCGTGGGGCTAAATGTTGTGGGGAGAGAGTCAGTTTTCCTATCAAAATATTGCCATTTCTGGAAGGTGAAGTGGCAATACACTGTTTGTTAAAAATTAACAAAGTTTCAAAGATTCAGTAATCTGAACGAGTGCACACCTTTTGCTTCGCAAGTCTTTTCGTGTCTGCATCCATCCAGGAGAGTTCATCCACTTGCTCATTAAAGGCAGACTGTAGACCACCGATCATATCTTGGAGCTGTAAAGTAGATCAACAAATGAACATTTTACGCTCGGTCAGTGAACCAACATTACTTCAATGTTTTGGCCTAGAACATTATCAAACCAAATCCCAAGACTCCACTTCTGCTCTGGCAAACTTGCCTCCTGAATTCTTGCAAGAACATTTCTCTCAAGGGCAGAATCATGAAAATAGATTCCCATCAAAATCACATGAACGTCAGTACTGCACTAATACTACAGCGCGAGAAAACTTCGCAAACATTTCTTTGATTCTCGCAACCTTTCTGTACGTCTCTCCGTATGTCTTCGTCTCCGCTTCCCCTCTTTTTACCACTACCACCCCTTTCTCTCTTTCTCTCTCTCTCTCTCTCTCTCTCTCTCTCTCTCTCTCTCTCTCTCTCTCTCTCTCTCTCTCTCTCTCTCTCTCTCTCTCTCTCTCTCTCTCTCTCTATTTATCTATCTATCTATCTATCTATCTATCTATCTATCGATCTCTATCTCTGTGTGTGTGTATATATACATATATATATATATATATATATATATATATATATATATATATATATTAATTATCTATCTACAGCCCCAAATCAACCTCTGTCTCCATCCCCCTCTGTCTCTGTTTCTCTCCTTCTCTAAGCGACTGTCCGTCTCTCTCTCTCTCTCTATCCTTTTCCCCTGTCTGTAGCTTGTACAGCATCTCTTACGGAGGCCATGTTACTTCAGCAAGTGATCTCCTGATATACATGTACCCCTATTTTATCGCTCAAATCCGGAAAGGTCCCTCTTACCATGGTTTTGGCTTCGGGTTGCAAGAGGCCTTTCTGCTCCACATAAGCTTTGTCCACTGCCAAGCCAATTGTTCTTTTTGTGTAACTCGCGCACATGCTGTCCCGTGGCTGCTCTCTGTCGATACCTCGCAGAACCTAAGGAAAGCAATGGACTCGGAATTGAAGTGCTGCTAAGTTAATCGAGTATCGAGCTTTGTTAGCAGTGTTTATGGGGATGGGGGGGCTTAACAATTGAGGGCTATCTCACTTGTTTGTTGATCAAATTTTACTAAATATTATACATATAACAAGCATAGTGACGAGTTTTCAAATCCATATTCAAATTTGAAAACAATTCGTTGCCATGGAGACGGTGGCCATATTGGACTGGATTTTGTTGACATGTCTTATACCTCACTTATTTTCAATAGAATTAATTTGTTGATACTTTGCTTATTAGCAAACAATAGCTCTACACAATTTTCTGTTGAATGTTTCTTAAACGAACTAGAAATGTTTTAATTTTTTTTTTTAGATGGTATTCAAGGTTGGAAAAAAATCTATGAAAGTCCACACTCCTGACATCAACAACAAACCTCTGTTATATATAGTGAAAATTCAACATACTATTTATAGTGTATATCATCCCTTCATTCTGTGAAAGTTTTCCTGAAGATTTCATGAAAAATTTAGTTATTTTAAAAAAGTATATTATAGAAAAACAGTGTTTTGAGAAAATGGACGATAGAGAAAAAAAACTATGAGGACTCAGTGGTAACTAACATTCATGATATAATAACTACTTTAAAATAAAGCTTTAGGGGGTTCTTATGTGATGAAATGGTTGTAAGAGAGATTGAAGAAACCAAAAAAGGTGGCCTCTCAAAATCCATAATTTTGATCCGAAACGGAACTTAAAGCTGTACCACCTCTCTCAAATTGAAACTGCCAGTTATTGACAATAATTTTGTCTCACGACGTGGTGGAATCAGGCGCTCGTCAATTTTTTGTTAAATGGAGTTATTACCATCATCTTAAAGCTTGTTTATTTGCCTTGCTTTCGGTGAAAAAATATCTACCTGTGTTGAATATAGGTCGAGATATTTGCGGTTGAAGGAGGGAAGGGTTGCCTGGTTTCAGAGGTGAAATTATTGAGAAAATGGCCGCCAAAGTTTGGTAACTTCAATAGCTTAAGAATCCTTGAAAACTGAAAATTACATGTTTTGTGCCTTTAAACAAGGTTTTTCAGTAAAATTTGTATGGAAATGCGTTTTTAAATAGACATAAAAGGTGTTGAGCTAAAAAATAAAATAAAAAAAGAAAATTAGAAACAAAAATGCCCAACTCCCAGAAAACGCCTTTTTTTCTTCGATTTTATTATTTTGACGAGCGCCTGATTTCACCACAATGCCTCCCAATTAGCCTTAGGTATCAATGTTGACGAGGTCATACCTTGTAGAACTCAAAGTTGAGTTGTAGGTAGGGTTGTGATAAGGCTTCCAGGTAGTCCTGGGCAATTCGCCAGTACACGTAGTTCTCTACCACACTGTTTTCACAAAATAAAGTTTTAGAAAAATAAAAAGTGAAAATAAAATATCATTCAACAAAGACATCTAGATAATGTTATAATATAGAGTGCAAGTGCATACGTTTTACAAATACATGTATTGTACTTATTATTATTACTTTTTTCTGTATGCCCAATCAAAATAAAATTGCAACAATGTAAGTTGCAAGAATAAAAATTTTGAGTCCTTTCTTTCTTTCTTTCTTTCTTTTTTTTCTTATTTTTTATATCTGTCTGTCTTTCTCTCAAGGCGTTGGTCGTCCACTCCAGGATCTAGCCCTCCTACAACGACCCCCCCCCCCTCCCCCCTCTGTTTTAAAAGCTCTTTTCCGTGTTCAGGTTGTACCGTCTGCTCTTGGATGTCGTCTGGCCATCTTCTTTCTTGTTTTTGACTTCATCTTTAACCATAAATATGGGGTACATAGAAGCGGAACCAATAAATTGGCAAAAAGATATTATTAATCCGAATACAGGAAAAAGAGGCTAAAACAGCACCAGGACATGGATGGCTGGTGCCTCTATAAATAAATCATTGATGGTCAGGTCATCTTTTTCCTGTTCTTGGTTTCTATTCTGTACGATCATTTTGTCCATCTCTCACTTTGTCCTTCACTATTTGGACGGCCAACCCATTTCCATTTTGTTTTAGTTTAGTTTTAGTAAGAGTTTTACGGCACTTGCAACACAAGGTCATAGATTGCCGAAGATAAGAGGTGTTACAAGAGAGTAACAAACACAAAAAAGGAGGGGAGATAAAGACGATAGATGTTTGATAGGAAAGAAGAAGCTAATCACACCAGAGCACCAGCCAACCATCCACTTTCCATTTTGTGTAAATTTGGGGATACCAGTCACACCTGTTTTCTTTCATACATTTTAAAAGTTTATTTTATTATCGTATTATTGTACCCACTAAACTTATTCTTTTCCGTTGGTCTTTGTGTTATATTTAATTTCTTTATGGTAGTTTGGTTTACTTGCCAAGTTTGGCAAACCTAACTTATTTCCTGGACAATGTGTTCGTTGAAAACTTGTCTTTTCAGTGATGCCGGAAAATTGTGTTGTGTTGGGGTTTTTTATGTCTTCGTATTTTCCAAAGGAACTACAATCTGTATATAAACCGAGTTGCAAAAGTTCTGTCACACCCACCTCGAACGTACAATAACTCATTTACTATTCAACATAGCCAAGAGAAATTTGGTACACGAGATCTATATTCATTTTCTGCCAAGATGACATTAAAAGAATTGACAAATGTCTTTCTTTATCCAAGTGAGATCTTTTTTTTTTCACATTGACCCTTGCAAAATCCAAATCAAAGTTTGCTCAGTATGACGAGTGGCCTCTTCCAGCTTGAATTACTGATACAAAACATCTGTTGGTTGACAGAATTAATGTCCTTATGGCTGTTTGAAGAATTCCCTGCCATTCCTTGTGAAGTGCAGTCTTCAGTTCCTGACGAGTTTATACGGAGTGGGGCCTGTTTCTAATCTTCCAGTCAAGGCCATCTTACAGATGTTCTGTTGGGTTAAGGCTTGTTGGTCTTGCAGGCCAGTCCACAACAACGATTTGATGAGTTTTGGAAGGAGTTTTCACTGATCGTAGCCATTTGTGGTCGGGTGTTATGTTGTTAGCACGTTCCATCATCTGTGCCATGTACAGTCACCGTGACGATGAATTTCGTCACAATACCGTCGTCTTTTGAGGTTGCTTTGAAAAGTAATCATATGTGTACGATAAAGAGCAGGGATTCCACCTTATACCATTATATTTCAGCCACCAATTCGGGCCTCTTGGGGGATGTTGGATTTGGGAAATCTCTATCCTCTTCTTTTAAACACTTTTTCTCTTCCATCAATGCGACGAATTACAACCTTTAACCATTGCTTAAAAGAACACTTTACTAACATCTTTAGTTTCATCGCCAATGTTGTTGTGCCAAAATTTGGCGATTTGTTCGATGAAACAGGATTAGAATGGCTCCACGCAAAGGGCGATAATCACGTCATCCACGATCTTATAAATGTCTAATAATGGTGTTTTAAGATAGTCCGAAGTACCTGACAGTCTATGCACTTAGTTGGAACGGATTTCGTACATGGGTGTTGACAATAACCCAATTCTGACATCGAGTTGTCGCCCTTGGTTGGCCTCCCCTAGGCTTGTCTTGGATTGTTCTAATGGTGTTAAAACGTTTGTTCAAGCGTTAGATAGTTCTTCTACACACATTTACTTGTCTTATAACAGCAGAAAGTGCAATTAAAGAATTTATCATACGGAGCCCTTTTATTTTCTGAATTTATCAGTTTTTTCTTTTGAAAAACAGGTGAAAAAAGTATCCAACAGTTGAAAAGTATGGAATTTCATAGTGTGTAAGGTGTGTTTGCACATTGTCTACGTAATTCAAAGCAAATGTGTGTAGGAAGCGGTGGTTTCAACGTAGACCCAGAGAAATCAATACCAACACTTTGTCCACGCACTACTTCCGGTTTATGATTTTTTTCGTCTGCTCTTGCACAAGGAGTCTCATAAGTCACACAAGTCGTACTTTTAATGTTTACTGCAATTCTTACGCTGTACCGAAAATCATCATAATGTAATGGGTGTGACAGAACTTTTGCAACCCAGTATATCTTTCTGTTTTTCTCATGTTACATAATCTTAATCATCGTCTGGTCTTACAATGAGGACTGCAATAATAGTAATGTTATGAACAATATGTAATGATAACGACAGTAACAAAAATGTTGTCACTTAAAAAATACTTTACTTTATATTATCTGGCATTTCTTTTTTCTGCTTCTTCCATTGTATGGTGAATGTAAATGTTTATCATGCCAAGATGAAAGATAATGAACGACAGACGACGTATGTCACCTTGGGAGGACGGTACGGAAGATGCCTTCTAACTTGCCAAAGAAATGATCGGAGAAGTTGATGATGATTTCATCATCTGTGACATCTGTGACTCCTATTTCCGGGGCTGTCAGCAATGATTTCACAAACATCGTGAAGCTGAATTCTGACTGTTTGTTTCAAAGAGTAAAGGTCAGTAAAGGATGAAGAGGAAAGCCTGAACAATCCCTGGTGATTGTGAAAAATCTAGTAATAATAATAATAGACTGCATTTATATAGCGATCTATCCCATATTAGAATAAGCTCTGACGGCTTTACACCAGACACATGATCATTAAAGACAAGAGAAAATATTTCACTAAAGCAAGAAAAACCAGTTCAATCACATAAAGAAGAACTCTCACTACCATACATTAATGATATACACGAAAGGACAGCAGTAAACACAAAACATATCAGCACTTACAAACACACTATAACTGTAAGAATTCAACAAATGAGTCTTGAGCAATAGCTTAAAGGTATGTACAAAAAGTAAGTACTGTACCAGAAATAAGATAACAGACGTCGTACTGACGTGAGACTTGGCATTACTAACTTACTACAGACAATGATATAGAAACAACGACATCGAGAGTGGACATTAATTGGTCACTTTTAAGGACAAGTGTGCTAACTCAGATTTCAGGGGTTTCCAGAAATCTTGACCTACACCAAAAGTGGGCATTGCCCTACCTATAGGAGAAGTTTGGTTTCATTTGTGTGTATATTTGTTTGGTTATAAAGAAAACGCCCCTTGTCTTTTAAAGAGACAGAATAAGGATCCCAAAACTTTATCGTCGATTTTCTCAAAACAGCATTTATCGGGATAGCCCCCTTGTGCAAAGCGACCAATTTTTATTATCATTATCTTTAAACTCTTTTATTCAAATTTCTGCCCCCTTCACTACAATGCGTAAACAAATTTTAGAAGGTAAGATTGGTACAAACAAGTCAGATTTGAATCCAATTGAGATAATGTTGTCGACAACGAGTGGCTACCCCAGAATAACAAAATTGTACCTAGTTTTGATAAATTTGATGTCAAATAATTTGAGTTTCATATTATGTCAAAACCGTTTCAAATACAATTCATTGAATGTCTTGATAAGATAACACAATTTTGATAGAGCAAATAAAGCATTTGATTTCTGACTTCACGGTCTAAGGAACTCAAAACGGCAAAAAATGCCAAATACAACTTTGTAATTCTGAGGCGCCGGAGTGTGTACGGACGAAATAATAGCACTTCAATCAAGAGTAAACTTTAAGGGATGATGTTACTGAAAATTGTAGCTCTTTAGATCCAACATATTATACACAATGTTTTCTGTTATCAAGGTGCTCAGCTTATTCATGGTAAATTGTTAGACATTTGAGTGCGATGAAATTCATCGACAACCGAGGAGTGTGTTACCTCAACATCGAGGACATTGAAAAAAGTCATAAGCAATGTCTTTGTTATTTTGGTAAGATCACCAACTACTACAATAAAGAACTTTCGTCAACAAAGAAAACTGCAGATTTCAGTTAGTTTTGTTTTAGTAGCTTATTGATGCGCTGTATCGGGAAAAGGCCCTAATTGTAGGGAGGAAGGTTGTTTTTAAAATTACCAGAAAAAATCTATGAAGATTATGCTTAGTTGACATTTTTGTCACATAATTGTGGAATCAGGCACTCGTCAGTCTTTGGGCATGTGGGGTTATTGGTATTATCTGTAAACATTCATTTTCCAGCTTTCAATGAAAAATTATGATTAGAAGTCTAACATATTTGCGATTGAAAGAGGTAAAATTAGCGAGAAAATAGCCGCCAAAGTTTGAAAACTTCAATACCTTCATAGTCCTTGATTACAGAAAAATTAAATATTTTGTGCCCCCAATCAACGTTTTTCAACAAAAATCACATGGAAATGTGTTTTAATTCTATATGGACATAAAAGTTGTTCAGCAAAACAAAAAGACTAAAATTCGATAAAATTGTCAAAGTAGTGGTGGAAAACATGCCTTTTTCTTCCATTTCCTTATTTTGACGAAAGCCTGATTTCACCATGATGCCTCACATTTATTGTTGCAGTATGGTTGTAAATACATCATGCAAAACCTGAACCCTATTAGTCGAAAATTACGAAAATCTTTGTATTTTTAGTTTTAAAATCGTACGAAATAAGACGGCTTACGTAGTCCCTAAAAATAGTGTGAAAAAAGCACCCTACACAAAATGTTTCTTTTGGTTCTCCAGGAATGGGCCATTCTTTCCATTCAAACCCCCCCCCCCCCCCAATTAATGATAATAATAATGGATTGCATTTATATAGCGCATATCCACTTAAGAAATGCTCTATGCGCTTAACATGATACATATTATGGATTTACAAATCAATTGTAAAGGTACATAGTGTTATATACTCGTGCAAACACATATTCACTCACGCACGCACCACACACACATACATACACACATACACACATACGTACATATGCACATACGCACATACAAACTCACAACGATCTACAGCTTGGATGGATTCTTCTAATCGAAATATGATGAAAATAGAAATGCTTTTAGTTTCTTCTTAAAAATTTCTAGATTTTCTGCTTCTCTGATAGTTTTTGGAAGCCTATTCCAAACAAGTGAGGCAAAATATGAAAAAAGAGCGTTGGCCACATAATTTGTAATTTATTTTAGGCTTAACAAGGGTTGTTTTGTCACTTGATGATCTGGGCGTTCTAGGAGGCACATAGGGTGTTAAAAGCTGTTTTAGATAGTCCGGTGATAAATCATTTAAGCACTTGTAGCAAGTTAAACAGATGTTATATATGATACGCTCTTTCACTGGGAGCCATTGTAATGCTTTTAAAATAGGAGTCACATGATCATGCTTTAGTGTTTTAGTAATTATTTTGGCAGCAATATTTTGTACTCTTTGTAGTTGTTGTAACTGTTCATCAGGTACACCAGCCAGTAAGGAATTTGCAATAATCAATCCTTGACAATATAAGTGATGTTATTAAAGTTTTGGTGACACCAACAGATAGATATTTTCTAATGCTCCCTATTTTCTTCAGCTGGAGATATAGATTTTTACAAAGATTGGATACATGGTATTTCATTGACATGTCTTGATCTAGCACCACACCTAAATTTTTTATTTTAGTTTGGGCTGATATTTCGTGGCCATTGATGTTTAATCTGATATTGTCGATTTCATTGCATGCGCTGCTATGAAGAAATAATATTTCGGTCTTATCCTCATTTAATTTTAATTTGTTCTTGAACATCCATTTTCTTATATCATTGATACATCTGGCGATTCTATCAATGAGATTGTGTACATTGTCAGTTGTAGTGAATCCATACAGCTGTGTATCGTCTGCATAAAGATGGTAATTGAGGGCATATAAAGAAATTATTGATGACAGACTTTGCGTGTACATTGTAAAGATGACAGGACCAAGGACCGAACCCTGAGGAACTCCGTACTTTAGAGGTAACCTATCTGACACATCATTGCCAATTTTCACTGACATAAGTCTATTGTCTAGATATGATTTAAACCACATTAGAACAGTACCTGATAGTAAAAATGACTTTTCCAATCTCTCTAGTAAAATTTCGTGGTCGGTGGTATCGAAGGCCGCTGACAAATCAAGCAGAACCAAAACACAGACTTTTTTATTATTGATTTCATTTAAAAAATCTGATGATACCTTTAAAAGAGCGGTTTCCGTACTGTGGTGCCTTTTATAAGCAGATTGAAAAGGTTCTTCCATGTCATTGGCCTTTAGATGTTGTTGAACTTGACACAAAACGATTTTCTCCAGGATTTTTGATAAAAAGTTAAGATTGGAAACTGGCCTAAACTTTCTCATGTCGTTTTCATAAAGACCTTGTTTTTTAAGTAAAGGTTTTACAATGGCTTGTTTGAAAAGATCAGGTACGATTCCAGTGGTGAGTGACATATTAATAAAACGAGTAACATATGGTGCGAGATCTTCCATGCACGTAACTAACAATGAAATGGGTATTGGGTCTAAGTCGCATGTTTTAGCGGGGGACTCTTTGATATACTTAAAGACCTCAATGAGGTCATTACCTCAATGACACTGAAGACAGTTATAACTGCAAGCGTTGTACATACGGCGAGTTTTTTAAAGTGCCCAATTTCAGAAGCACCTGCCCTTAAGCCACACATATTATCTACTCCTCACATTTGTCTAATTTCATCTTGAGTTCTTCTGTTACATACACTCTTTCGTCTGTATTCATAGATTATTGATTTTGCTTTAAAGAACACCAGCCTAGATAATAATCCTTTTTATCTTAGCTAAAATTTTAATTTACTCGGAAAGGAACTCATTTCAATGCTTTTGTCTAATCATACTGGTTTTCTTTGTTGCAACGGCGTGTAGCACGCAAGTGTAGAATACTGTTGTGATCCCTACCACGTTTTCAAGCAAAAATGCAATGAACCCTTTTGTCTGAGAGTTGATCACTGAAAAGAGCTGTGAAAGTGGTGCAAGCAGTGCGTTCTATGTACCCAGTATGAAATAAAGCCCTATATCTACTGTCACAGACGTAATGATGTACCAACCACAAGGTATTTTTTGTCTAGTTCAGCCAAGGTCATCGGGATGTACGGGCGTTCCTCATACCCAGTCTCTAGAAGAGGAACACAACTCTGGTTGGGGGAGGGGGTGTATTCACACACACAATAAGTATTCCATTTGACATTGACAGACCCTTTTGTAAATAATTTTACAACGCAAAACTTAACAAAAAGCCGTGTTTTGTTTTTGTTGTAAATGTATTGTAGCCTCAAATTAATCTCATACCATTTACTAAGGACAGGGTAGTAAAAACTGCACACTTTAACTACTATTTTTACTGTTAAATTTAATCAAAATACACCCATCACATTGATACTCTTGGGAAAATGAATTAAATGCTATCAAACTTCCTCAGAACACTAATACACACTTAATACTTAAGAATACCTTTCATTATAATTTTTCGAGGATAATTATTATAAAGGGATTTAATTTTAGGAAGTCTTGAGTGAAACATAACCATAAAGCCTATATCCTCACCTTCGCCAACTTTATTTCGAAATCCACAATGGCCTTCACATTTCTCTGGCCCGAGGTGGGGTATAGAAACCCAAAGTTCTGTGCCACTTTGTAGATGTAATTCTGGTAGGCCATGAGTGTTGGGTCATTTCGGGGGACCAGGTAGCTGGCCGGATCCTGCATACCCAACCTGGGCTGATCCAGCTGTTATAAGGAAAACGTTTGAGCTTAATTCATTTTAAAGGCTTCTTCTCTTTTTACGGGGAGAGGGGAAAATGGGTGGAGGTATGGGAAGGCGGAGTGTGTGTGTGTGTGTGTGTGTGTGTGTATGTGTCTGTGTGTGTGTGTATGTGTGTGTGTGCGTGTGTGTGTGTGTGTGTGTGTGCGCGTGCGCGCCTGCGCGTGCGCGCCTGCGCGTGTGAGTGTGAGTGGGTGTGTGCGTGTGTGAGTGTAGTAGTAGTTTTGGGTTTTACGGCGCTCGCAACTGCATAAGGTCATATGAGCGCGCTGTGTGAGTGTGCAAGTATGTGAGGAGAGAGTGGATCTCTTTAAAAAGATTACATCTTCCCTCTTCAAATACAATATGGACAGTTCAAATACAGTAACAGAAGTTTGGCAGATACCAAGGACTACTATACTCCAGGACGTGCACAGTCGAATTCCTGACTTGGCTAGCGAAGGCCATCGAGTCAAACACTCCGGATATTCCCATTCTGACTCAGTGCTTTATCTTTAGATTTGACTCGTTCGTAGGAATCGGAGACTATTTATCGCCTTTAAAGTAGAGTGAATCCTATCTGTAAAATTCGTTGATCTTAATAAAAATGATGCAGAAATGATTCAGATATTGAAAGGTGTCAATATTTTTATTTTTGATCAAGATTCCAAGCAAAGAAATGTAAGCATAATTATGGACAC